TGGTTTGTTGCTTAATGACATCTTGGTAATAGTCAAAATATATAATGGCAGTCTGTAAATCATCAAGTCTGGACCAGACAATCCAGAGACTGATGTTATGAGCAACGATTCACATGGTCATACGTATACAACAAGTCACCAAGTCTGACCATCCAATCCATAAAGTTTCCTCTTATGACCAGTATAGGTTGCAGGGGACCTGTTCTGTCCCGGAATCCCCAGGGAGGTTTCAATGAGTTGCTTGTACAATGAATTTTGCTTGTCAATATTTGGTGGTAAAAAGTGAGTACGGTTATCAACCGCTTTTAGCAAAATTCCAATTTTTAGCAATTTGACAGTCCCAGACATATTCCTGGAGACAAGACCATCTTTAACGGGGAGGGGATGGCATGGCAAGGAATTCTGTATTTTACAATGAGTATTAAGACTGGTATTCATTGTTACCCGGTATCCAATTTGAGAACATAGAAGTCAAGGAAAAAGTACATTGACAATAATCCACAATCAAGGGGCATCATATTATTGCTGAGAACCATTTCCCTTGAAGTCATGAAGAATGTATTTCATTCAGCAAATTACGGTATCACATAGATTAATGAAATCATGAACTGAAAATGAATACTGATGACAACTAGTTCATTAAATCTCCTAAAATACATCCTGAATTAACATCTCATAAGATCAAGAAGCACATACATGTATTTACATGTGTGTTAAAAGTAATTTGTAATGAAATTATACGGAGGCGGATTTTGCAAAAAAAAAGAAAAAGGAAAAAGGGGGGGGGTACACTATGACAAAGTCACAATGTTAACCGAAACACATGCTGTATTGACATGTTAGGTGTCTGATAAAATATAAGGTGCAACCTGCACCCTAACTGAATCCATCATTGTCATACAAAATAACTATTCTTTATTCTGAAGTAATTGTGTTTTTATTTAATACCAACAATCAAAACATGGATCCAATTTGATCCAATATATAAAATCATGTTACTGTTCTCTCCACAGATTGATAAGAACTGGCAGTACATGGCGTCTAGCCAGACTCAAAGATTCCAGCAGGAATGTACCAAGTTGGAAAAGTCATCTGTGCAATTAACTCTAGTAGGATCATCTAACATGGCACTGTTTCTCAAATTGAGATGCAGCAAGACTATCACATCTTATGCTGGTGGATCCATATCAATGTTAACCTGAAGAGTATATTTCCTGTTACCACAGAACCATTTACTTCCCAGACTGAGAGTAGAGAAGCTGGTGCTTCCACTGACTTCCATCCTCATGGCATTTACATTCAATACATCCACCACACAAAACACTGAACCAGAACATGAAAGTGTCCCCATGATTTGAAGGGGCAATATTATTACATGATTAATATTCAGCCAACCAATGCACTCCTTTAATCATAGCAGACTTCGTCCACATCAATGAATGCAAGATGGCTTGGTCATTCAGAGTCACCGAGTGCATATCTAGAAATAACCAGCTAATCAAAATCTGGCAGTCTCAGCTCCTGGCAGGGGCAACACTAAACTCTGGGCAGTGCTGCCATTTACCCACTTGAATCTGTCTGCCAGACATTCAATGCTGCAGAAACCTGGAGCTACAATCAGCTTGAGATACTTAGGATGCCATATTCACAGTATTAAGCAGGGTACCCATGTTTACTAAGGATCTTTGTGTTTGTGAGTTTGAACAACAAGCCAGCCATTTTCTATCCTGTATACCCTACTGTACTGATTACTGGTTCTGAAATTCTTTCAAAAACAAGAAGTTGACCCACTTTGAAACAAAGACATGATTCTAGGTTTGGAATGACTGCATTTCAATCTGTTTGGGAAACCTGAGTTCCTTAGGACTGGAAAGCATAACAATTCCTGAGATTATTCAAATATTTACATGAATTGATCTTCATTTTTTAGCTGAAACATGCGAGATCTTATTGGTTCAAAATTTGAAACATTAAAACCGAAAAACATTTCCAAAGTACAGTAGAACATGGATATAACGAACACAGATAGAGCACACATGGGTACAACAAACTGATAAAAATTCCCTGAATTATCTCCAATATAATATCATATGAAATTTACGTATATAATGAATTCTCTACAGCGAACTAACTGATACAGCGAACTGATATCTGATCAACGACAAGCCCATATACCACTAATTCGTGACGTGTATAGCGAACTAAGAAATCTCACTCAGTGTCAAGTGTCACTGACAAAATGTTATCAATTGAATGCTATGAAGTGATCACTGCTAATACAAGTCAATGCTGCAATTACGTGTATGGCCTTTTGTTTTATCCAAGATGGCGGACATTTCCGAGCAAAAACGTATATAACAAACAACTGATATTACAAACTGATTTCTCTGGTCCCTTGTAGTTCGTTATAGCCATGTTCTACTGTACCTCGGAACACGGAGTCAGTGACCCAATTGTTTGGCAGGTGATCCTACTGAAATAACAACATGTCACTCAAGTCCTCAGGGTGGAGTCAGAGTAAAAAAATGATCATCCTCGGTAATCCAGGGTATTATATACTCACCGACAAAGAAACGCTAATACCAAACATGTTAGTTAATGTATGAAAGAATACTCATATTCAAAAGATATCTGATTGGTTTGATGCACAAATGAACATATTCGTATGTTGTGTGACCCGACACTCATGAACACATCACATGTGACATCATAGATCCATGACTCAAGATGAACCATTTGTCTCATGCAGGATGAGCGTGTAAAGTTTGGAGTAGGTGAGTGAGTTGGGTTGGGTTTATTGCCACTTTTAACAGTATTTCAGTTATATTACGGTGTGTCAGCTTAATGTGGGAGGGAAGCCCGAAGTGATGCAGGTCACAGACGTTTACCACTTCGGTGAAACCCACGAGCACGGATATGGTGCCGACAAACCTAGAAACATAATCGGGGCGAACCGGGATTCGAACCCACAATCATTGGTTTCTGGCGTGCCCAAGGGACGCAACTCTGCACAGCGACTAGAATAAAGACCTTATGGTAACACTTTACTGATTGTTAGTTTTGTCATTAATTGGCACACATCTCTTCTTAAAATACATACTTCTCTATATGTTTCTATGGTTCGCGTTTCTTTTGGCGGTGAACATATTTCAACTCTATCATGATATATACCCTGGATCCATTTGCCACCATCCCTTCGTCACGGAAGTGACATCACCAACCTCATCTATTTTATCACCATAACTTACATTTGGCACAAAATTTCTCTCAACCTTGACCTTGAAATCAACAGCAAATCAAAATGCTTCTCAAGAACATGAACTTGGCATAGATCTAAATTCAAAACGGTTGCATTGTCCAAGTGAGCAATCAAAATATTTAATCAAATCAGGATATGAATAGTAGGACAGAAAGGGCAGTCCTTATGAAACAAAACTTTGCGGTTGTATTGTGAGTGAGTGAGTTGGGTTTAACGCCGCTTTTAACAGTATTCCAGTTATATCGCGGCGTGTCAGCTTAATGTGGGAGGAAAGCCCGAAGTGATGCAGGTCTCAGACGTTTACCACTTCGGTGAAACCCACGAGCACGGGTATGGTGCTGACAAACCTAGAAACATAATTGGGGCGAACCGGGATTCGAACCCACAATCATAGGTTTCTGGCGTGTCCAAGGGACGCAACTCTGCACAGCGAATCGCGGCACCTTAGACGACTGGGCCACCCATGCCCCTGGTTGTATTGTGATGAAGACTGAACTGACTGATGGATTTCAACTTCCTTACTCACTTAGTTTTAATTTCAGAAGATGCTAGTACCTTCATCACTTGTTTGTTATTTTGACTGGAATCATCTCGGAGGCTTTTTAGCATCATCTCTTTTGAACCAGGCCCTAAACAATCATGGCGAATTGTAGTCTGTCGTACAGACCCTGAAACAAATATATCCAGTGCAGCCCATGCAAGTCTACAATGTTTGGTGAGTCTAGATTACTGCAGTATCTGAAAGTGAAGAAAGTCTCGGGGCTCCTTTTTTATTATATTTTATAACTAAAATTTAACAACTGTTTTTTTCTTTAAAATATGTTCATTTCTAGAGACCAGATGTGAGTCTTGGCAGATTGGTCAAGGTGTTTGTAACAGAAAGGAGATCCATTTTGGATAACATGCAAAATCACAATCTACAATGATCTCAAAATATCAGTGTGGCAATGTCATGTGGGAAAGTATTCCAGTAAAACTGCACAGATTCATGTTACCCCTCTATTCCTACCCAAACAACCGCATGCATGGCAAACCTCATGCATAGCAACCTTATCTTGTCTCCAAGCAAAGTCTCAAACAACATTTCACCACACTTGCCATGAATGACAACACATGGATTCCTAATATCACAAAGTTAGGTTGAGTCCATAGCAAGGCTATCACTTAGTCAATGTCTACACTGATGTACAGCGGTCGTCCTTTGAGGGAGCTGGGTTTTATACTGTTGTAAGCAATACGCCAGCAATATGTTGGGGAACATCAATACTAGAGTGAGAGAGTGAGTGAGTTTGGTTTTACGCTGCTTTTAGCAATATTCCAGCAATATCACGGCGGGGGACACCAGAAATGGGCTTCACACATTGTACCCATGTCGGGAATCGAACCCGGGTCTTCAGCATGATGAGCTTTAACCACAAGGCTACCCGACCGCCCCAAAGTGAGTGAGGGTTTAATGCCACTTTGAACAGTATTCCAGCTACATCATGGCGTGTCAGCTTGATGTTGGACAGTGGGAGGAAAGCTTGTCAACACAAGAAACAGGTTTCATTGTACCCATGCTGGGAATCAAACCCAGACATTCGGCATGACAAGCAAACGCTTTAACCACTAAGCTACCCTGCTACCCATTTTATGAAATGTATTTGTTTGTTGTTTAATGCCACACTCAGCAATATTCCAGCTATATGATGGCGGTCTGTAAATCAGAGTCTGAATCAGACAATCGAGTGATTGACGTCATGAGCATTGATCTGCACCATTGGGATACGATGACATGCATCAACCAAGTCAGCGAACTTCACCATCCAAGCATGGGTTGTGAAGAGACCACTTCTAACCCGGATGTTCATGGGTTTTATGAAACGGAAAAATTGTAATATGAAGACAAATCACTCTGAGAGTGGGATCATTCCTATTGTGGGACACTGCTGCTTAATAAATCTGACGTCACTTCGGAAAGAATACACAAATTCGATGAAGTAATGATTAACACGCATTGATAATAAAACATATTATTTGTATTAATTCCACGTAAACAAATAACTTGTCAACTTTGCATCCTTCGAATTGACCCTCATGAATAAAATGGACAAGCACACACAAAAAATACATTTCATAGGTGCTAAAAATACAAATGCTGTTGCAGACACACACACACACACGCACACGCACACACATGCACACACTCACAAACACACTCACAGTGAATAGGTAGCCATTCAGTTTGGGCCAGACTTTTTTGAAAACTTGATTTACGAACCAACGACACCAAAAAATTGAAATGTAACATATAAAATATGTGAAAAGCAGTATATTTTTTTATTCCGCAAGTCAAAACTAAGTAAAAACCCACTTTATTTACTGTTGCTATCAATATAAATAAATTATTTAAAATATATATGGGCCCAAAATCTATAGAGAAAAAGGAGTTTGGCATTATCAGCCTCATATAGTGAAAAAGTATTTGATATCATTGTAAAGCAGTTTTGCTGGAATGCATAAACTTTTGTTGTAAAGTACATCTCAACTTTTGACAGCGATATCCTGTTGAGACTGTTCGTTTTTTGTTTAAAGCCGCACTCTTCAATATGTCTGGACCAGACAATCCAGTGATCGATATTGCAAGCAACTATCAATGCAATCGGGGTACGATGATGATGCAATCAACCGAGCCTGAATTCCTGTGGAGACGGAATGTGACTGATTTCTTTTAATGTGTTGTTCTACAAATAGTATTCAATATTGCCATGGAAGCACAGTTTCATAGCTTCGTTTCCAGTCAAAATAACAAACCAATACATGTACAGTTGTGTTCTAGCAGTATGCGACTATGCTTGTTGTAAGAGGCGACGAACACGATCGAAAATCAAGGATCAGTGACTTGGTTGATGCATGTCATTGTATACTAATTGTGTAGATCAATGCTCATGATATCAGTCACGGGATTGTCTGGTCCAGAGTCGATTATTTACAGACCACCGTTATATAGTTGCTGAATGCGGCATTAAACAACAAACAAACAAACATAGCAGTATGAGCTGTGTTAGAATCCCTATCAGTGAGTGAGTGAATGAGTTGTGTTTAACACCACTTTTAACAGTATTCCAATTATATCACGGCGTGTCGGCTTAATGTGGGAGGAAAGCCCGAAGTGATGCAGGTCTCGGACGTTTACCACTTCAGTGAAACCCATGAGCACAGGTATGGTGCTGACAAACCTAGAAACATAATTGGGGCGAACTGGGATTCAAACCCACAATCATAGGTTTCTGGCGTGCCAAAGGGACGCACCTCGGCACAGCGAATGACAGTGTCTTAGATGACTGGGCCACCTGTGTCCCCTTATTCCTATCAAAAGTTGAGTCCTACGTAAACAAACGGATAACACAAAATGCATATATGGCTACAAGACAAAAAAATTCTGCTCAAATCAACATTCACAACGAGCAAGCGTAGTGACCGAGTGAGTTGGACTTAAAACTGTTTAGACCAGTATTAAGGTAATATCACGGCTTAGCTGAATAAAGAAAGAAAGCTTGATGTACACAGATTGTAAATGTTTGCCATTTGGTATCAAATGCATAGGTATGGTGCTGATAAACAAGGGATCATAATCAGGTAGATCCTGGCAAAGCCAAGGGAGACAACTCTGCAAAGACTAAAACCATTGCCCTGACCAAGCAGAGGAAAATGGGTGTTCTAAAGCAATCTGGTCAGACGATACCAAGAATGGTTTTCGCTGTACACTGATGTGAAATACAGGCTGTGGTATTCAACCCCATCTTTTTGCATTATAGCATCATTCTCATATAAGTCTGGTTATCAATCTCAGACAAAATTACTTTTTAAAAGAACATTTTTTGCACACTTCATTCTCACATATTATTTTTGTTATGCACAAAACATTCACAATATTCATGTCACATGGCACAAAATAAATATTTTTACAAGCACTTGAAATTATGAAACGGTCCATCTAACGTTCTCTCCAAAATGGTGACTGGATTGTATGTAGTAAGTTGTCAGGTAGTCACAATCTTGAAAGAGTTACCTACCCTTGTCAACTTTCTAATGAACAACATACTCAATGTCCACTTCAAGCTCATTACACACGCAGTAAAATTCTTCATACCGACTAAAATAAATACTTTCCTAAAACTACCATGCAGACATTCTTGCACTGAAACTGTACAAACATAATACATGGATTTACCACACATGCCCTTAAAATACATTTGAGGTCTGTGACAATCACATCAGTTGTGAATGTTTATTTGGAATTCTCACAGTATTATCTCCTTCACGACACATCGGCGGCAAGATGGACGACAGTTTCCATTGGTTCCTCATCATCAACATCTTCCTTCTCCTCGACCTTCTCGTCCGAGATTTCTTCCTGAGGTGGCTCTTCTTCCTCGGGCTCTTCCTTTATCTCCTCCACTGTGACCTCAATGATCTCGGTGTCCTCAGCTTTGGTCTCAATCTCTGTGGAATCGGACGCCTCCTCGCTTGCAGAGTTTGAAGGTTCTTTGGATTTTTCTTCGGGTTCTTCTTGGGGTGTAGGATTTTCGTTTGGTGCTGCTTGAACCTGCAACAGTTAGGAATTGGAATTTAAAACAAGAATATCATCATACACTAACGAGAATATTATCATGACAAAATGTCAACCCACCTTACGGCAATCTTTTATGTTCTATATTTGTCCACAAAAAGACCCAAGTTGGTCTAAGAATCCTTACACCCTTTACAGCTTTTGACTGACTGACTGAGTATGGTTTTACGCCGCTTTCAGCAATATTCCAGCAATATCACGTCGGGGGACACCAGAAATGGGCTTCACACATTGTACCCATGTCGGGAATCGAACCCGGGTCTTCGGCGTGACGAGCGAACGCTTTAACCACTAGGCTACCCAACCGCCCCTACAGCTTTTGAAGTTCATGTTAGTCCACTGTGAGATTGCTAAACTGTGCTGAGGACAAGGAATAATCCAATGATGGTAGTCCTTATTGACTACCGTATTTTCTTGAGTATAGTGCGCGCACCCCTCTAGCGGATTCAGTATTTTGGGAAAATGTTTTTTTGAATATTATGTGCAGAAAATAATTACACCGTACCCCTTCAGCGAATTCCGGTAAACGAACGGGTGATAAGAAACTTGGTCAGTACAAATTTGAAATTTGAGATAAAAAAAAATCACCAGACATGTGGATTTACTGTTTATAATTGTATTGTGTGTGTTTTTTGGAGAAAAAAAGTGCGCTCTACTCAAGGATATACGGTAGTATCATTTGAGAGCTATAATTCTGAACCAGTTCTCAATTCTTCAATTTTGCAAAACTAATAAATCGCAGAAAATGTAGGTAAACATTTTGTCTTGATCAAGTAGGACTAGCTACAAACTCTCAGGGCAAGGGAAATATGTTTTATACAAGTTTCTTAGGATTTCATAATGTCAGACCCATGAACATGATGATCATGGCTGACCCATGATGTTTCAGGAAATTAACACAAATGCATTGGGCCAGTTAATGAGTGAGTGAATATTGTTTTACGTCACACTCCGCAATATCCCAGGTATATCACAGCAGCTGCTAAAGAATTAAGTGAGTATGGTTTTATGCCACTTTCAGCAATATTCCAGCAATGTCACGGCAGGGGACACAAGAAATGGGCTTCACACATTGTACCCATATCAGGAATCGAACCCGGGTCTTGGCGTGATGAGCAAACGCATTAACGACAAAGCTACCCCACTGCCCCAAACTGCCTCACACAATAGGGCCACCCCCAATAAGCAGATCCTGCACTAGCTAAGGGAGGTAACTCTACACAAGGAATAAGATAGCCTTACGGTAAACTACACCACGACATACTCAAGAATATCAAAACAATGAGACGAACACTCATATGAACCTGTGGTTCTTTTGAGCCAAAATTTGAATACATCAAGACATATTTTTAGTATTTTGTTAAATAAGTTCTACACATCGACTAAACTTGCAAAACAAAAACGTTGCAAATCTTTCGTAGAAGAAACACAAAATAAAGAACAAAATAAACACATGCTGTCAAAAAGATATACTGGCATCCTTCACGTAGGCATTATAGAAACTGTAATATAATCTCATGCCAAACAAAAAATAAAATGACCAAAAATACCATGCAAAATATATATAACTTTTACATGTGTTGTTCAACAGCCAAATATACAAGACTACTCTAATCTCAAAATCTCGTTTTAACCCGTACATTAAAAAACAAAAAAGGTCTAATTCCACATATTGTAAGGCTACAACTATTGAAAGAATGGGACACCAAACTGAATGAAGGTATGCGATACGATACAATATGTACTATGTTCCCGACAACATGGATGAAAAAACATACCTGAGTTTTTACCGAGACATTCGGAACTAGCACAGACCTGTATACAAATGGGAACCACTTTATACGTTTGTGTGTTTGTTTGTTTGTTTGTTTAAACGCTGCACTCAGCATTATTCCAGCTACATGTATATGGCGGTGGCCTGTAATTGATTGAGCCTGGACCAGACAATCCAGAGATTGATATTGTGAGCAAAGACAACTTATATACAAACATTTCGCAAACGTTAATTTCTTTAATTCACAACCATGGGAACTGATACATATATTTATAACAAATTTTGCAATGAAGTGAGGTGAAATGGGGTTTAAAGTCGCGTCCAAGATTATTGAACTTATATAGCGACGTGCATGTACGTGTGTGTGTTTGTGTGGCTGCTTGTACTAGTCCGGAATGATGCCGATTTATAGTGCTAGCTCACTGAGATACCATGCCGCAGTTTAACATGAATACCCCACTCAGACACAGTATACTGACTCCGAGCCGACCTGTCCTTGTTTTAGCCCCTTAATGCTGAGTGCCAGACAGGGTAACAACAAGTACCATCTTTTGGTATGATGCGGCCGGGGATCGAACCCCGGACCTTCCGCTCTCCGGGCGGACGCTCTACCACTAGACCACGGAGTCGGTCAATTATGCAATGAATACCAAGAAGAATTTAATACCAGCATACCAGAGCTACAGAAGCTCACTTGAGTGAGGATGTCCTGAGCTGAATGTTTGAAATTAAACATTGTATGGAACTTACAATAAAGGTGTGATAAAGGTCTTAGACATTTACCCTTTCGCAAAACCATGAGAACTAGTATGGTGCTGACAAATATAGAAACATAATCGGGACAAACCAGGATTCGAACCTACGATCATGTTTCTGGAGTGCCCAAGGGACGCAACTCTGCACAGTGAATTGTGGCACCTAAGATAATTGGGCCACCTGCGTCCCTGTTTTTATGAAGAACATCACAATAGTGTTGTACAGTTAGGTATATATACAATCAGTGGTCAATGCTAGCCCTGTTTGCTTAACAAATATAGGATATCTTTCAAGTATCAAAAATCCTACAAGTTTTGTCGGGTCATAGGTTTTCGGACATCATACTTTTCCGGACAGCCATGTTTATCGCGAATACTAGTGCTGTAACAAGGCTGTGGCGTCACTAAGACATTGTAAATCAGCGTTAGAAATTGGCACTCGTCCTGTAGTCCTTGCCAAACTGCCCAATAGTTAAGGTATCACAAGGAGAAGCAGAAATGTGCTATTGTTTTTTGGTCCTGTCTATTTGGTGTATATATGCTGTAAATATGCTTATAATGACCTACGGTGATAACCAACTAAAATTAGTTGTCCCTTTGAGTTTGTTATAACTGTAGTTCATTGTATAAACTCTCACAGAAAGCATGTTGTCATGACAACCTAACCATTACCTTGTCACCAAGTAACATATTGCTCCATCAAGGTGAGACTATTGACACATTAACACAAACAGCAGGTGTGAAATGGCAATGTGGCAATTATCCTGATGAGGATGTCAGAGACTTGATGTGATACAACACTCTGGCAGGCTGATTCCCTGAACTCGCGAGACAAGAGCACATGAAAGTACGAGACTACAAAATATTTGTCAAACTCTCGACGTCGCTTATAGTGTACATTTCAAAATCAAAAACAAAACTCTTATTTTTGTTTATGATATGAAACCCAAGTTGTTCCATAAATGTGAAAAAAGAAATAAAAAATTCATGAAGGAAAATGTTTAAATGTGGATATACCGGATTTCTCTTTATGTACTTAATTGAATAAGGAAATGAACACAAGTGAAGATTTAAATGTGTGTTTGGAAAATTGGACGAAAAGTGGGATAATCGGCAATTATGTAAAGAAACTAAGCCATTTTAATGCTAACCTGACAAAATAAAAAAAGTCTGTTGCATATATACACAAAAATAATTAGGAAGTGAAGTCAATAATTTCAGATGAGGTTTGTTAAATGTTTATACTTTGAAAACAATATCTTTTTAAGGAAATTGATTATATGTTTATAGGAGTAAATGAATGACTCGATATAGCCTATGCTGCAGTCAGTAATATTAGGGCTGCACCGCTGAGATATAAATAATCACATCTAGGCCAGGCCACCTAGTGGATGATAGCATGAGCAACCATTCATGAACCCTGGGCTTGATGACACACTACGACACATTGTAATTACCTGTTCAACAAAGTGGTCTTGTGCTATGACTATCTTTACAACAAAAGTAACAAAACCCTTTGATAATCATAAGAAATCTCTGCTAATAGCCAAGTCTATTGTGCAATTCCAACAATATCATAAGCATTTTTTATAAATTACTATCAAATAGTGACGATAATCATAATACCAGGCCGTAGCAGTAAGATGACAAAACACCATTGTAAAATCACCGATCAATTATATTGATACTCCATACATTACTGGAGGGTGACATTCAGGCTGGTAGATTCAGGATTAGAGAAATGAACAGGGTTAATATATTCAATGTTTTCATGCTTGAAATCTATGCCATGCTGTGAATAACAGTGGAACTCTTGACACAGACACATTCCAAGTCTAGTCCAGAGTGAGTGAGTGAGTGAGTATGGTTTTACACAGCTTTTAGCAATATTCCAGCAATATCACGGCAGGGGACACCAGAAATGGGCTTCACACATTGTACCCATGTCGGGAATCGAACCCGGGTGACGAGCGAACGCTTTAACCACAAGGCGACCCGACCGCCCCAGTCTAGTCCAGAAGTTGATGAAAGTGTTTTCATGAAAATATTGCACAAGGCTGTGTTGTCGTCACATTGGACCACATATTCCCTGTATGACCTATAATTCTACATACTGTTGTAAAATCTATCATTCAATATCCGGTGTAATGTCACATTGGGATTTTCTTCAGGCTTTTTACAATGAAATATGAAGGAGCTTGGCAATATGGAGGACCGAATGGCAGATGTCATTGTTATGTTTTTGACCTGGGTGATGATGAACAAATGACCGAATGAAAATGTCCAAACGATATGTTTCTGAACTAAGTGATGATTGAAATGCAGATGTCACTTTGATATATTTTTATCTAAGTGAAGACTGAATGGCAGACATCACTGTGATATATTTTGATCTAAGTGGAGACTGAATGGCAGACATCACTGTGATATATTTTGATCTAAGTGGAGACTAAATGGCAGACGTCACTGTGATATATTTTGATCTAAGTGGAGACTAAATGGCAGACGTCACTGTGATATATTTTGATCTAAGCGGAGACTAAATGGCAGACGTCACTGTGATATATTTTGATCTAAGTGGAGACTAAATGGCAGACGTCACTGTGATATATTTTGATCTAAGCGGAGACTAAATGGCAGACGTCACTGTGATATTTTTTTATCTAAGTGTAGACTAAATGGCAGACGTCACTGTGATATCTTTTATCTAAGAGTAGACTAAATGGCAGACATCACTGTGATATCTTTTATCTAAGTGTAGACTAAATGGCAGACATCACTGTGATATATTTTTATCTAAGTGGAGACTAAATGGCAGGTATCACTGTGATATATTTTGATCTAAGTGGAGACTAAATGGCAGACGTCACTGTGATATGTTTTGATCTAAGTGGAGACTAAATGGCAGACGTCACTGTGATATTTTTTTATCTAAGTGTAGACTAAATGGCAGAAGTCACTGTGATATCTTTTATCTAAGTGTAGACTAAATGGCAGATGTCACTGTGATATTTTTTTATCTAAGTGTAGACTAAATGGCAGACGTCACTGTGATATTTTTTATCTAAGTGTAGACTAAATGGCAGACGTCACTGTGATATCTTTTATCTAAGTGTAGACTAAATGGCAGATGTCACTGTGATATTTTTTTATCTAAGTGTAGACTAAATGGCAGATGTCACTGTGATAATTTTTTATCTTAGTGTAGACTAAATGGCAGACGTCACTGTGATATTTTTTACCTAAGTGATGACTGAAATGCAGGTGTCACTGATGTTTCTGACTTAAGTGATGACTGAATGGCAGACGTCTGATATGTGTCTATCATATGTAGTCATGGTATGACACTAAATCAGCTAAGTCATCCATCTTTCTCATGATAATGATTTGCCAGTTACATCACGATTTCACCCAGCTATACTTCCGTCCCCAGTATTTCGCATGACTATGATTTAGCTCTGTCTTGTTCCACATCTAACAGACACCAAACACTTCCAAAAACATTACCGCCATTACCTCACCAGGTCATAGATTTCAACTGGACCATGGAATGCCTTTCCAAGCACTTAGGAAATAGTTAACTTCAAATGAGAAGGGGTTTCAAAAGATCCTGCTAAAATACCCAAAACAGTCACCAGAACTTACTGGACGATTTTACATTGCCAATCCCGTGGGAAACAAAAAAGCAGGTTTGTTTAAATCACTAACTTTTCAAAATAGTAGATTGCATGTTACCATGGTTCAATTTCAATAAAATCAGATCTTCGTTCTCGCTACCACTAAACAAAGATCCGATGCATCCCATTGCGGGTCATGTCAGAACGACCTTTCATCTGACCAATCAGAACATCGCTTATCAGATCACGAAAGTGACAGTTGGAATGTGATTTTTGATCGTGCAACCTCGAAAGAAAACACACAGGGTATTCCTTACGACCTTTATGGGCTTTATGTCTGTATTCATACAATCTAGACCATCTATTAACATAATTTTCCTACTTCAAACTAAAAAACATCCAGTTCAGGTTTATAGTTACAGCTAATGATATGGCTTCGTAGAGATAACAAAATATCCCAGATAACAGGACCAATAAAGGAAAAGGTTTTAATACTTATTTTACAAAACTGCAACATTAAAATATCTCAGAATTTAGGAAAATTAGAAAAATATTTTGAACAATTTGCCTGCCATGGGTACTTAGTTTTGAATCTTAGATAAGTCTGTGCGTCATGCAGCAGCCATTGGCCAATACATTCAAGAAGACACACATTCTGATCAGCCCCAAAGCAGCCAAGTTTCTGGAGGCTTATATTAAGGGTTATGGTGAAATTATGACAACAACATCTGATGGTTTTCAACCAAACATATACTCTACTATAGGAGTGTTATTATTGGAAATTTTAGTATTGAAAATTGACTCTAAAGTATCAAAATATAAAGTATTGACTAATAATAGAATCAGGTATTCTGAATGTGAAAAGACAGAAGGTTCCAATGAAGACCTGCAATAAATCAAATTAATCCTGAACATGCACCAGGCTGATTCAGTAAATTAAATTTAAATTTTCTGCCTCCTAAGTGACCATCATAATCATGGTAATCTTAATAAATATGAACATTACTGCATCAGTGTAATATCAATTTAGTATGACATTCATAAATTTGTATTGCTACCGAATTGACATTTATTATTTACAAATACATCAAAATCGTGATCAAGTTGTAACTACACTATGCACTAAACAGTTTTCTATTACATCCATGCAAGTCTTACCTTTGCATCAAGGGCATATGTCACATATTTCTATAATCAGGAGAAACAGCAGAATGTTAGTGATATTTTAAAAGTGTAAGCATCTGTGTGGGGGATTGGTGCTGGGATGTGATCTAGGTTAGATGAGGATGAAGAGGAGAAAGATGTGACAGTATTATTCGATTCAAGTTGCTAAACACTTGCGAAGGGCTTTTGTTCTAAACTCTAATTTTGAGACCACGTTATCATCATTTACTTGCTCAAAATCAACATTCACACAGAAACTTAAAAATATGTAAAGTTCTTCAACTTAACTATCAATAAATATGTTTTTCAATATTCATCCAACAATATGAATTCCTGCTCATCATTTACTTGTGTTAGTGCATGTCACAGGGGAGTGAAAATAACTGATGGAATAACCCCAAACAAACAATTATGTCGCTCAAACCTGACAAAGCTTCATTCTTTGATCAATTACCTGCATTCTGTAACTTTAAGAAACACATTGGACATATAAGTGCACACGGACATTGGAAAATGTACATAGACAGCATTTATCTTTTAACTTTGTATTGTTGTTGGTGCTTCCATTAGTTATTCACACCCCCTTTATTTATCAGCCAAATAAAAGGAGTTCTAAGGATGAAAATAATATAAAACAAATTTACAAATATCGGATGAAAAGAAATAAAAGTTATATTTCTAGGCAAGTTGAAATGTAATCAGGGCACGTCTGCAAAAAGTAGTATTAGATAATAAATCATAAAACATTGTCCCCCAAAAGTTGACAGGCTTATTCGATCTTATCATGAGTTGCAAAGATTGAGGTCTAAAGCCTCAATGACCTTGAAGGCTATTACATAAAGACTGATCAGTGCTGACTTTCCTCTATACCAGCTCTGACAAGACCCTTTGAAGCAGTATCCAATGTAAAATAATGAATGATTTAGTGAGATGATGAAATACAGGAAAATCATATAATTCATTAACTGTGATGTCCACCAAACAAACCCTGCAAGTTTTGTACAAAAAAGGTGTAAAATAAAGAAAAGGTTAGATTGCTTGACTTTTGGATTCGGAAATGATTCTCACCTCAAAATGGTTTCCAATCAAGTGCTGCATTTCATGTCTGACCAGTGTCTCCGAGGCAGTGAACTCCCGATCACAGTACTGACAGATGTATGGGTTCGGGGGATCTTTAGCCGAAGAGGGGCCTGGAGTTGGCTCCACTGGAGTCACAACTATGGACTCCTCTTTGCTTGTGCTGGGCTGCGGCTCATCCTCCTTCATCTCCACATCCATCTCCTTATCTTCTGAAGCTGCTGTGTCCTGATATATAGGATCAGACTCTGAATCTTCCTTCCTCGGGAGAGCTTTCTCCTCTTCTGGATCAGCCTTCTCCTCTTTGGGCCGTGCAACTATCTCCTGGGTCCCGCTGTGGAACTTTTGAGCCACCTCAATGGCCTCCGAGATGTCAGGCTCTTTGCACTCCTGGGCTCTGTCTGTTTGTCCATTCTGAGCCAGCCAATCAGACAGCTCAGGCAAGGGACAAAAGTGGACACGGATGTGCTGAGAAAGGAGATACTGCTTCGACACACTGTAATCACAGTATGGACAGGCAAGATCGCTGCGGACCATATGGAATTTAAGGTGAGCAATGAGGTGATCTCTTCGAACATTTGCATATGGACATCGATCACATCTGTACAACTTCTTGGGTTCAAATTCAGCTTCAGGTGGAGCATTTTCATACAGATCAAGGTGGTCATGTATAACACTGATTGTAATTGGCTCTTTGGTGTCTATAGGAGGCAGGGCACTTGCTAGGGCAACATCCGCGGGTACATGGGCTAGATGTTGCAAATTGATCAACGATTGAGCTGCAAGTAAATTCTGGTTCGGCATCATATGAAGCTTGCGATGCTGAGCTAGTAGATTGTTCGAAGGAACACTGTAATCACAGAAGTCACATGTGAAGCGTTGTTTGCTTCCGTGCAGTTCAGAATGACGTTCAAAGTGGGAACGTTTTGCACTTGCATAGGGGCATTTCTCGCAACAGTATTTCTTGAACCTGGCGATTTCTAGCAGAGTGTCCACTTTATGCTCCTGCATGATTTCAGTCGTATCCGAACTCCGGTCATCGTCATCATAGCCTCCAAGGCCTTCTTGTTTTGCATGATCTGCTACCAGATTGTCATTGAAGTCAGGAACATAATGTTGCTGATGCACCTTAAGGTGATGGGATAGGAGTCCCTTAGCTCCAACATAGTAGTCGCAATGAGGACACTTCATGAGAGGGTGGTCGCTCTTCCTAGCACCATGCATCATCTCATGGAGTTTCACATTCCTGTTCCGGATATTTGTGTAGGGACAAAACTGACATCGGTGTAATTTCTTGTACGAACCATTCTTCATGACATAGCCAGGCCGGGTACCCACAGAGCACTGTGTGGCGATCTTCATCGGGGACACTGACGGGCTTGTGGACAAACTTGCAGTGATCTTTGAACCAATCAGACGCTGTTTCAAGGAAGCAACTTCTACAGCATCAAACAGGATACTTGCATCAGACATTTCTGATTTACATGGCGAAGCTTGAAGAAGCACCAACTGTGGAGGCAGCATCAATTGTTGTTCATATTCCTCATGGATCTTCATGTGCTGCTTGAGGAGTCGACGATGAGTCACCCAGTAATCACAATGTTCACATTTGAACTCAGCTGTAGGCTTAGGTCTATGAAACTGCTTGTGATACAACATGTCATTCTTACTGTTACTCTGGTAGGGACACTGAGGACATTTGTGCTTCTTCGGGGTAACTGCAATGCCTGGAGTGGTACTCTTCTTCTTGGGAGTGACATTTGGTGACTTTTGTCCTTTCGGCCAGTTCTTCCTGTTGGTGTGTAGCCTCATGTGCTGGTGAAGCAGTCTTGGTGCGCACACATAATAGGGGCAGTATTTGCATTTGTACTTGTTGACAGCTTGAGGCTGGTGATAGGTCATGTGGAAATTCAACAGTCCCCGTTTCGTAGCTTTGTAAGGGCAGATGCTACACATGTACTTCTTCCCCCTTTCATTGGGCGACTCCTCCTTCATCTGATCCTCCAGGGGCTGGAGCTCCTGCTCAGCTGGCACCTCCATCCTTTGCCGCTTTCGAATCTTCAAAACCTGGTTTTTGTCTTCAACTCCATGTTTTTCACGAATATGACGGTAGGCTAGATAGTCCTTGGGAGACTGGAAATTGCAGATTCTACACAAGTATGAGTCGACATATTGCTCTGTAATGATGGTCTTGCCTTGCTGAAGAGCGCTAATTGCGACACCAAAGTCATCTAAGGTGGTCTGGCCATTGCTTCCTCCAGCAAATCCTTTCCCATATTTAATGAGGATCTTTGTATAGGTAGGATAATCAGTCTTGCCGTGGGTGCATCTCAGATGTCTATACAAGGCACTTCTGAAGTTGCTTGAGAAACTGCAGAGACAGCATGTGAAGGGCTTCATGTTGTGTTTCTGCATGTGACGGATGATGTGAGATTTGACAGTCGCCTCAAAGGGACATTTGCAACATTTCCACACTTTCTTCATCTCAGTTCCACTTTTCTTCTTATAGGATTCCTTTTTCAGGTTTCCAATAGAAGCATCAGAAGCCGCTGGTTCCCTGGAGGTTCTGTCGTAATAATAGCTCGACAAAGTCTCTTTAGCCACTTTATAATCCAAGAGAATCACTTTCGTCTTACTGTGACGATGTCTCCTCTTGATGTGGCGTCCAATGTCCGTCCTCCAGTTAGACCTGTAAGAGCATGACCCACACTTAAACCTCTTGCAACGATCCAAGTCCTCATTCATTCCGCTGACCTCAGCTTCAGTTTCAGTCGCTTGCATTTTAGCCTCTAATGCTCGGATTTCTCTCATGGGATTTCCCTGTTGAGGAGAACACTCTGCATGGTATGTATCTCTTGCAGTCTTCAGGTCCAGCATTATAACATAACCTCCATCACCAGAGTGCTTGTCTCTCAGATGCTTTTTCACATCCCATTTCCAGTTGGACCGTCTTGAACAGACGGAACACTTGAATGGTTTACAGTATCCATGGGTCTTAGGATCGCTGTATTTGGTGTTCTCCCCATACACTGTTCTCTTGCCATCAACCGTTTCTTTCCCACTGGAAGACTGCTGATTGTGAGATCCAGTGTCATCCCCAAGGAGAGGAGTGGTGTTTCCTGCATAGACGAACTCTCTCCCATCGGGTACATAGATCAGTTTCACTTCTTTATTAGGATGGATATAGTGGTAATGTTTCTTGATGTCCCCCTTGATGGCGCCTCTTTTCCCGCACTCTACGCACATGTAGGGTTTGTCCATGTCAATGTCACCAGAAGGCACTGGCTGACGGAAGGTGTTCTTCTTACTGGGTGCTCTCAAATCATGATGCTTGTTGCTGGGTGGAGGAGGAGCCATAGACTGTTTCTCTTGACTCTCTGCCTTGGAAGGGACATACCCATCAGGGTCTTTATCCTTATCCTTCTCTTTAAGGAATATAATGCTGCCTAGCTGCCCATTGTGGATAGTGCGCAGGTGCTTGCTGACACTCCAACGGAAATCCGATCGGAATGGACAGAGTGAACATTGATATGGTTTCTTCATCTTCACTTCACCCGACTGAGCTTCCATCTTGGCAGCAAGCTGTACATTAAAGTGGTGCTCGCGTCGAACATTGGGCTGGGTGTCAAGGTAGTCCTGGATTGTTGCCTTGGCCTCTTCCAGACACAGGGTCTGAACGTCAGCATTTGATTCAGGATGATCTTTTTTCATATGCTTGCGGACGTCCCATTTCCAATTGGATCGACGACCACAGATCGGACACTTAAACTGCTTAAGGTTGAAATGGGTAGCAATATGAGCCTTCAGCTTGGATGGGGCATTGGTGACAAAATCGCAGTGATTACATTTTGATGGAGTTCCATGAACATCTTTCTGAGGAGAGGCACTGGATGTGGTACTCAGGGAGTCAGATTCATGATCATCAACGCTTGTATTCATAGGTTCAGGAATAACCACAGAGGCAGAATCATCAGGGTCGATACTTTCTGTGAGATGGAGTGCTTTGTGGACTCTCGATTTAACAGCCTTCCGTTCAGGTCTCACAATCATGAACTCTTTAATGTTCACATCCTTAGTATCCTTGGGCATCAAGTCAGCATGGTGACGGAAAATGTGGCGACCAATGTCCCCCCTCCAGTACGTCTGGTAATCACACTTCCGACACTGGTAGGCCTTTTCTTCCTTATGCATATGGGAATGTCGCTCCATTTCAGACTTCCATTTTGTTGTGAAAGTGCAAGCTGGACATCTAAATATCTGTGGCGAAGATTTCTTCAGAGGAACAATCGCTACCCTCTGCACTTCGATGTCTTCGGGCTCTCGGTTATGATCCCTCCGGACATGGACGTTCAAGTCACCAAGATACTTGTATTTCTTCATACAGTATGGACACTTGAATCTTTTCTCAACTGAGTGAACAGCCATGTGACGACGTAAATCCGACGGCCATTTTGCAATATATGAACAAAACTTGCACTTCGCCTTGTCCTTCCAAGAAGTCTGGGATTTTGCCCAAGAACTGTCCTCACCAAAACTATCATTTGAATTTTCATTCTCAATTTGAATGGGGTTCTCTTTCATTTCCCTTAAGCTTGTATTATGCTTTATCTTCATGTGACGACCAAGATCAGAGAGTCGCTTGTAAGACAAACCGCAGAGCTCACAACTATTACGATTTCCAGATCTCCTAGGGTAACCAGGAACACCCTCTGGAGCTCTCGGGTCATACTCTTCGTCATCTACATCCAAAGCCTCCTCTTCATCCATCTCATCCTCTTCCTTACTGTCTCCAGCAGTACCATCCAAATCATTACCATCAGTATCGACAATTTCTCCTCCAAATACTATCGATTCATTCTTCTCTGTCAGAGGATGATGATTGGTCATGTGTCTTTTCAAAGCACCATCATGGCCAGTGGAGTAGCTGCATATAGTACACTTAAACGGCTTATTCGCTTTATGGTTCTCCATGTGCCGGTCAAAATTTGGTTTGAAGTCTGTGGCATACAAGCATTCTGGACACTGATATTGTGCTGAGGAGGCTCCATGGGTGGACTTGTGTTGGTAAAAGTCGTTCTTGCTTTTAGTCTTAAAGGGACAAATCCAGCAGCTGAAGGTCTTTGCCCCTGTATGACAAGCTTTCACATGCTTCACGGCCTGGTGACGATTCTTTCCACTGTAAAGGCAAAGCTTACACTTGAACATATCAGCACCGGATGATGTTTTAATTCGCATGATGTGAGGATAGGTCTTCTGTGGCAATGGTTTCTTCTTAATAGCCTTGCTCTTTGACGAAACCCTTGACAAAGCTTTCCTGAATAGCGATCCAGCTGTTTTCTCTTTACGGGAGGTCTTGTTTGACTCTGCCGCAGCCTCAAGTTCACCCAAGACGCCTCCTTCCTCAAAACCATGAATAAGTCGTCCTTCTGCTAGTTTCTCCTTGTGAGCAAACTGAATGTGCCGTCTCACCTTGTGCTTGTACTTGGTTGCATACTCACAAAACTGGCATGGAAATACATTAATCTTGGCACCATGACTGTCAATCTGGTGATAGAGAAACATCTTAGACTTTGTCGTAGCGTAAGTACACTGAGAACATCTATAATTTCTGTTGACCAATGGAGGTGGGAGTGAGGTCCCAGCAGAACTCGGGGACATCGCCATGGCAACTTCCCCAGCATCCTGCTGCTCTTCCTGTTCTCCCTGTTCAACGTTCGTAGCATCTTGCTCTCCCTCAAAAGCATCCATGTCAGTTTCTGTTTTGGGGTCCATGTCTTCTGCAAAGCTTACTTCAGTGTCACCTAGAACTGTTTTTCTATGTTCACGGGAACACCTATTTTTGTGTCGGCGGTATATATACTCATTCTTGGTTGCGAAGTCACACAGGCTACATTTAATCAATGGAAGATTAAAACCCTTGGGTCTTCGCATGGCGGACTGGGAGTAGTCTCCCTTTACAGCCTGCAGACACGGAGAGCTCCGTCACCTGTAACAAAAGAAGAAATATAAGCTTCTTGATTGGAATCAATAGAACTTTCATAGTTACACATATACATGCCTATTATTCTCAAATAATTTACCAAACACAATTCAGCTAGCTTCAAACACTGGATTAAGATAAAATATCGGTCTACGACTTTAGCCACTAGTCCGAAGCTGAAGCTTTGCACAATTCTGTTCAGTCAGTAAGCTCAGCTAAAATAGTCCATATAATAACACTAACCTCTACTGAATAGCTTAGAGCCATATGATGCTTAGAGCTTGTGTACTCAAACATTTTTTGCAAAGATATATAGAATTACTGGGTAATAACCTTTCTGTTTTAAAGCGCTTACCAAATGAGGTACCATGATGTAGATTAACATGGATACACCACCCTTAGATACAGAATACTGAGTCCGAGCCAAACAGCCTTTGATTTATCCCCTTAGTGCCGAGCGCAGGCAGGGTAACAACAAGTAACATCTTTTAACGTCTTTTTGTACGACACGGCCATGGATTGAAACATCATCTACTTCCGGGCAGACGCTCTATCCACTACACTACGGAGCTGGTTGAGTGTGATTAAAGATGCTGATGAAAATTGGGTCAAATCTGCGATTCAGGATCAAAGTGACTGTCCTCAGATCATTATACAGAGGGGTATTGTTTCAGGTAAAAGATTGGATTTTAGGGAGAATGATCTGCGATATTGCTGAGTGCGGCGTAAAACAACAAACAAGACACATAAAAAATTTATTTGATGATGTCATTTACTTTACTTCTTCACTTCACACAATTGAACTTCTATGAAATCAGTAGCAGGAATTCCAACTACAAGCATGTTCAGACAGACACACGGCTTTATTTATTAAGCAATAAAGGACAATGCAATAAAATTCAAAAGGTAAAATCCTGCATTCAAGGGTACATAATTAAATTTTTGCTGTGTTCATTGAAATTCCTGCATTCTGATTAGCTGAATTGGTCACGTGATATTGCATTAATTTCCCAATGAATGTAAAAAGATAAGCCACGCCCACCGAGGCACCTTCTTTTATTACTGCGGAATGTCGGGGAATCCCAATATTACAGTCGAGAGATGCCTTTCTGCTCACGTGTATCGTCATGCACATGCCATTTAGCGACATTAATGCATATTCATTGTCCAAACTACCCTTTGAAACCGAAGGCCGAGAATGAATGAAACAGTATTCTAACGATTTATTTCACATTTTTTGCTTGTCGAAGTCAGCGGGTTGGTTTATCGTAATGCTTTTCTTAATACCACGGAAACACGTGTCGCGAGGGTAAACGTGCAGGCTCGCTCGCCTGTTTTTTCCCGCTCGCCTCGGTTCAACTTTCATGTCTTCGGTTTTCATTTCTAACTAGCATTTTTCCAACTGTGTTTTCCCGGTTACAGGGAAGTAATGTTTGAATCTGGCGGTAACTGACATGTCATTTGAAACAGCCGCCTTTTCCTGGGCATATTTCTTCCGGTTCGTTACAGTCTGACTGTTGCAGTTCTTTTCGCCTCTTGCCTTAATTGACAGGTTCAATGAACATTGTTTTGACCCTACTCTCCGTTGATTGGCTACTGACTGTGTAGGCGTGTCAAGTTATGTGCATAAATTAAACGATCACCTGATTCATGTCACGACACAGTATGTATTCCTACACCTGGAATGTTTATGAATCTCGACATTTTTGTCTGCTTTGATATATTTAACTGTTTTTGTTAAAACTATAGCAGATAAAACATGTTTTACATTGTCGAATTTAATTATAAGCTTTGACTGCATACTTTGTTTTTGTTCATTGAGGTATGAACCGAAAAAAATACACAGTCAATCCTCAATTATATCAAACCAGGTCTCATTACGGTAATGTCTTTCCGTTGGGGGGAAAAAAACATCAAAACTCATTGTTGCGTGTATAATGCGCACCCCCTTCTACACAGCTGTGTTTTGGGGAAAAAAAAGTGTGCACTATACTCAAGAAAATATGGTACTCATTAGCTGACTATAGTCCAGTATTACATACAAAAAGTCAGCTGACTTCATGAGATAAATGTTCAAATGAGATGGAACAGACAAGCCCTTTTGGATCATGAAGGTTCCAAGTATAATAGCTAGCACAATATTCAGAACAAAATTAAGAAATGTGATCCATCAATTAAATATCACATGTCAGTTATTTTGCTGGAGGAAAATGGTAGCTTTTGATAGGACATTCTTCCATACCATTACCAAATTGTTTGTTTGTTGTTTAACGCCGCACTCAGCAATATTCCAGCCATATGACGGCGGTCTGTAGAATAATCGAGTCTGGACCAGATAATCCAGTAATTGACATCATGAGCATCGATCCATGCAATTGGGATCAATGACATGTATCAACCAAGTCAGCGAGACTGACCACCTGATCCCGTTAGTCGCCTTTTACAACAAGCATAGTCGCCTTTTACGGCAAGCATGGGTTGCTGAAGACCTATCTATTACCAAATTGAATAAAACTCTGGAACATTTGAGATAACACTCAGTCAATGTCCGAGAAAATGAACCGATCTGAAACCCTACAGCTGGTGCACTGTATGTTTTGCCTTTATAAAATTATTTAACAAAGTTGCCAAGAACAAAAACGCCGTAATATACAAGATATACTTTTCTTGATCAACTTGTGCAAACAGTGTTTGTTTATTTGGTTGTTGTTTAACACCGCACTCAGCAATATTCCAGCTATATGACGGCTGTCTGTTCGTAATGGAGACTGAACCAGACAATCCAGTGAATAACATCATAAACATCAATCTACATAACAGAGATAGGATGACATGCATCAACCAAGTCCGCAAGCCTAACCACCCGATCCTGTTAGTCGCCTCTTACGACAAGCATAGTCGCCTTTTACGACAAGCATAGTCGCCTTTTACGACAAGCATAGTCGCCTTTTACGACAAGCATAGTCGCCTTTTACGACAAGCATAGTCGCCTTTTACGACAAGCATAGTCGCCTTTTACGGCAAGCATGGGTTGAAGAAGACCTTATCTCTACCCTGGATCGTCCTGGGTCTACAGAAACAGTAATCAGACTCGACTCACACTAACTCCAGAGACAAATGACAGCAATCCCAATGCTTATTGCATGGTCTCAGATGATGCTATTGATTCTGCCTTTCTGGTATGTGCAGTGAACCTGAAATGGCAGTCCACTCCAAAATGTCCAGACCTAAATGTGCCACTTCAATAATGCAAGCAGGGCGGTCGGGTAGCCTAGTGGTTAAAGTGTTCGCTCGTCATTCTGAAGACCCTGGTTCGATTCCCGCCATGGGTACAATGTATGAAGGCCATTTCTGGTGTCCCCCGCCATGATATTGCTGGAATATTGCTAAAAGTGGCGTAAAACCAAACTCATTCATTCATTCAATAATGCAGGCAAGGGACACTTGCAATCTTTACATTCATTTCACTGAGAGTGGTTGCAAATAATTTGAATTACAAGTCCCACAGATGCAAACATATCACTGCAGCTAATTTAATTATGGCCGAACAAAGTTCAAACAAAGAAAATCCATAATTAGCATCCGCTTCACAAATGTTTCAATTGATGTCAGTACTTGTCTGCTTCAGGCAAATGGAAAATATTGGCCATTCGCCCAAAGTAATATATCAATATAAGGGATTTAGTATTTACTTTCCCATCAAAATACTCAAAATTATTTCCTGTCTCTCATGCATACCTTGAAACAAAAATATCTGATACTCAAAAGCAAGTCTACAAGACTTAAGAAAGTCACAATGTATTCAGTTTCAGACTGAGATTCTCTTGACTTTTTTATCTTTAATTAAAAGACAAGTTATCAACAAAAAAAGTCTCCCAAGCTAAAAATACAAGTCTTTCTCTTAATTTCTTTGTTAAAATCATACTGACAAAAACAGATTATAATCACACTTCTTTTGAGGGTTGGTATCAGACAATCAGATAATAACATTGGAGAATACAGGGGCGTGGAAATATCAAAATTGTGAGCTTGTCCCCAGACAATTAACAGTTAAAAATCACTTGTCAGGAGACAAGTCTACTTGTCCAGATCGACATTGATGAATACGTTTTCATCTCTTCACTACTTTTTGAGCTGCCAGTGCGACCTGCCATGACTTCTTGGCAACATAGTACTCTGATCTGATCAACCAATCAGAAATTGTTTCCTTTTGATCAAAATCAGAACAAGGTATTAAACAATACCCTGCTGTCAGTCAGATTAGTTCTACTCAGGATGTTTACTCTTTTACGCAAGTCATATTTAGTAGTTATTACAAATATTTTATCACAACTGACTAAAGGTCTTCGAAATGGTAAGGTTTTTGGTGGGCAACCGAAGATGATATTTTGGGGGGGCAACCTCATGTAACGGGTAGGGTAAGTTGGGCATTGATTTTCCACCCCTCTGGAATAAATATTATATTACATAGTAACTTCTTAAACTGTGAAACATTGTAGAACTTATATTTTTTATATTCACTTATTATTTACATGTTCAGATGACTTCAGGAAAAAAATTACTCGTCGTGAAAAAAAACTTTGTTGTTTCATCCACAATATAAAACGTCAACGCCAAAGAATCAGTCTCAATTACATGCCAAAACAGATTTTATTGGGCGTAAAAGGCAAAACATGAATAGAAATTAATCTAATTTTATGTCTAGGACATGTAGGATTAAAAAAAATTAAAAAAACAATTAAAAATAACTTACTATGGCTTTCTACGATAAGAGCAATATATTCCTGGTCAAAAATAAGTCGTCACAAACCTAGCTTACAATTTTTCCCATTCCTTTTGAACAAATTGTTAATAATGTTATCATTGTTACTGATGTATTCTCCAACATTAACTTTAGAGGTATTGTGTTCAAAGAATTATTTTGTGTGTGGACATTGGGAAGTAAGGATTAGTCAGACACAAATTTGATATTTTTTTTACATCTACTGGGTGCATGTAGACACAAAATATTAGGTTGCACTTTTCAAGAATAGGTTGCACTTTTCAAGAATAGGTTGCACTGGTGCATGTTTTAAGGTAGTTTAATCAAGCCCTGCAATTGACCAAAATATCAGTGCATTGCCTGATGGCAGCACTTTGATGATGATCCTGTGGGATTCTGGGTAAAAATATAGGTCCCCAGCAACCTTAATATATACTTGTCATAGGACGGAACTTAATGGAACAGTTCAGACGTGACTTGGTTTAGAGCATATCTTCATACCCTAATTGTATGGAGCTTTGTACATGTCAATCACTCGATTGTTTGGTCAAAGCTGTAATATTGGTGAATGTGGCGTTAAACACCAAACAAATAAAACAGTAATGATGCGTTACATAATATTAAACTGACATCAATATTTTCGAAAGACATTTTCAAATACAAAACAACACTGATAACCTTGTATGACGTGATGAATATAGCCTTGCAGACCACATGGACCATACAGAGATCTCGATCAACAAATTCAACAATTTCCCACATATTGTGTTGTCTCTGTTTGTTGTTTAACGTTGCAGTCTGCAATATTCCAGCTATATCATTGCGGCCTGCATATAACAAAGTCTGCATCGGACGATTCAGTGATCGATATTGTGAGCAACAATTCATGCGTTCTGGATATGATAATACGCAAAAGTGTCACCGAGTCTGACAACTCGATCCATTTGGTTCCCTCTTACATGCATAGGTTGCTTAAATTGGTACCTGGTCTTACACGGAATCCACATGGGTTTGAATAATGCCAGGAAAACTGCAACGTGGGAAATTCAAGGTAATACTATTTCCATAGCAGTACAACTTCACAATATGATCATGATAGTTTTTCAACTATCATAATTAACTATAATAATACTATGACTATAGTTAAAATGACATTAAAGGGCCAGCCCGAATAAATATATCGTACTTATAGGCCTATATCTGATAATTTATATGTCAGACTGCCTCTATGGCGCAATGGAAAAAGCATCTTCCGGAGATTGGACGGTCGGGGTTCGATCCCCATTCACGTTTAACCAAAAGACGTTAAAAGATGGTACTTGTTATCCTGCCTGGTGCTCGGTATCAAAGATATAAAACAATGATGGGTCGGCTCGGAGTCAGCATACTGTGTCTGAGTGGGGTATTCAGGTTAAACTGCGGCATGGCATCTCGGTGCACTAGCACAATAAAACTGGCATCAGACTGACTAGTACAAGCAGCCACATAGAAATATGCATGCACTTCACTAAATATTTGCAATAATCTTCGGCGCGACATTAAACCCCATTTTAAACCATCAAATATCATCTTTAAACAAGAACTGGACTCCAAGACATTGGGCAATGGTTAAGGAGTAGATTGGCAAGAAAATAAATCCACATCAACCAGGAAGCTGATAATGAAGTGCATTTGATGACAACAAACTTGTTTATATTATTACGATAACAGTAGACTTCTGGGTAAATAATGGTAGTAGCATTATACTGCCGGCATTGTGAAAATCTAGCCATCTGGCTTGCGGCCAATGTCCCACTTTGGTTTCAGTGATAACTCCAGGCCCGGCTAGTAAAACTCACTGCTCTTAGGCTGGCACTCATGCACAGTTGTACTCGCTATCCGCATCAATGACTAACGCGACGGAAGAAAATCAACCCCCCACAAAGCATTTAAATACACACAACAACGTTTCAGGAAATATCTGAGCAAGTTTGAGACCGTGCCGTATTTGGGGCGGGTCCCTACACACGTGGGGCTGAACAATGGTCGAACACGGAACTTGCCATCGGAGGCCATCTTGGTAGCTCGCGAAGAAACACCCAGTTGCCAACCGATCGAAAGAAACAAGCGATTTCTCTAAAATCAACTCACCAAGTAGATTAAAACTTCACATAGACCGGGAAGGAACCTTGTTTAGTGTGTCTGTATGGTTAGATTTGCTGACAAAGCGCAGTTTGCATCGCGACGGGCGTCTACATTCAACCGTAGGCACCGCAAATCGCAAGCAGACACTTCTGGGCTGTGTGCTTGGAAAGGGGTCAATCGAGCCTGCTACATATTCATGAGCTCGCGGCGATTTGCGGAAGGCGTCTGTCGCATGTGTTCTGTGGGACTGAAGGTTCCCTGGCGGAAGAAAGGGTCTGGGACAGAATGAACCCCGAGCAACCATTCATCGATTATAATGTGTTATATATCCAATCGCTGACTTGAATTTGTGGTAAAAGTTGTATTTTAACAGTTGTTTATTTTGGCGAAATATATTATCTAATCTCTCAGAGATTGAACCATCAGCATTGCCAAACGTTGTAGAGCGAAAGTTTGACAAAAAGATAACACATAAAACATAACACAACAAGTGAAACCGTGAGAGAGTACCCGGTATTGTGCACATCGTTTTGCCTTTGACGTTTACAAACTGTTTATATACCGCCGTCATATACTGAAATATTGCTGAGAGCGGCGTTAAACATGTTAAACAACAAGCAAACACACAAACAAACTGTTTTTGCGCTGTTTCGTTATTTCCACTCATAAAATATCGAGCCTTTACTTTATTTCTTTTTACGTGTAACCATAACCACTTATTTTCTTTCTTTCTTTTTTTAAAATTGATACTTAGCCATATTTCCCAATTTATAAGCATCTTTAGATACACAATCAGTATGGGGGTACAAATACACAGAGATCCACATACAACAGTAAAATACGTTTATAACAAACACGCTTATAACCAACTGACGGATATATCGAACTTATTTTTTGGCCCCGGCCATTTGCTGTATATATGCTAAATTAACTACGGTTGTAACGAACTACAATTAGCGGTCCCTTTGAGTTCGTTATAACCGTAGTTTACTGTACTCTAAAGAAGTTACTACTGAAAAGAAACACCCGATTTTTTCATATGACTATAGTTAATCTATCATGATTAACTTTTGTCACGAACAAATCGGGTGTTCTTTAACTTCTTATGAGTTGTATATATACAGACTCGTATTAAACGGGTAAACGGCTGAGAAGCGTTTCTGTCCTATTTCATCTCCCTGGATAATCTGTTATGTCCGAGAAGGACTTTATACCAATCCGAGCTGTATGATATGGATATCTTACGATTTGTTGTGATAAGAATGACCCTTAAGGTCGCTGGTGTCTATAAAGAGCTGTTGATGTGTCGCTTATTTTCCTTGAACAGCTATTTTCCATTGGGTTGTTTTAAGTGCGTACGCCGGAAAACACAAGAGCGGCATCCTTATTATATTTGTATACCCGGTGTATATTTTTAAGTATATACGGTCTGGTAGTATAGAGTTATTATAATTATGGAAATGGTTTTGTCGATTTAATTTTCGATCAACCTGATAAATAGATCAAAGAGGCTCACATACTCATTTTGTTTTGTAATATGTTCTATATTCATAAATGAATGCTTCTTTGTCATGTAAAACAATTGGTCCTTATTTCTTTTAACAAAATATTTTTAAAATGGCATGGGCGAGATAGATATTGCCAGGAAGCAAAGGGACTAAAAAAATAAAACCTGTTCTGTGTACATGTCTCATATTAAACGTGGGGTTACATATACTGCGAGTCTGGTGTATAGGTGACTATACACAAGCTGCTATCCATATATAGGCATTGAGATCCAGACAAGTGGTTATAACCAGCTCCGAGGGATTCTGACATTCAATTCGTTTTATCCGAAGTTCGTTATATCCGGAGTTCGTTATATCCGAAGTTCTTTTTTCATCAACAGTAACAATGATTTCAATAAACTCCCTATATGAGTAGAGACCCTGGTGGTTCAGGGTTAAAATAGATCCCCAGCGACCTGTTCTTGTCGAACAAGGTGACTAACTGGTGGGGGTGGTCAGATTCTGGGACTTGATTGATTGCATGTCATCGTACCCCGCGGCGTGGAGCATTGCTCAAAAGGTCAATCACTGGACTGTCTGGCCAAGAGTCGGTAATTTACAGACAGTCGTCATGTAGCTGGAATAATGCTGAGTGCAGCGTTAAAACAACTCACATTACCCTAGGGTTAGAATATGTTTCGTAATAGCCGATAATTCGTTACATCCGACATATATCAGCTGCGGATTATATCTTAATGTGGGAGGAAAGCCCGAAGTGATGCAGGTCTCAGACGTTTACCGCCTCGGTGAAACCCACGAGCACGGGTATGGTGCTGACATACCTATAAACGTAATCGGGGCGAACCGGGATTCGAACCTACAATCATAGGTTTCTGGCGTGCCAAAGGAACGCAACTCTGCGCAGCGAATCGCGGCGCCTTAGACGACTGGGCCACCCGTGCCCCCCAAAAAGAACACGAAGTAATGAAATAAAGAAATATTCCCCTCTCTAAAATAAACTATACAAAACATATAAACATCGCATTACCAAAAGACACAGCATATGAATCATGGTCACACACACTGTCTCCGAGGCCCTAGAGAATATATAAAAATTAATCCAACCCGAGTCTAGAAGGACTTGGCAAGTCTAGATTGCCCCTGCTCTAGGAATTAGGCATTGTTCTAGGCTCCATCTGGATTTTACTTTTTATTTTGTAGATATAGATTTTCAAACAAGATTACCTTATTTCAGGGATTAAATGTTAGCCTGATGGGTACTGGTCCTTTCATACGCGAGGCCGCCTATCATTGTTCGTTCCTCGATGTAGAAGGTTGGGAATCGCGCCAAATAATGTACCATATAAGGACTTTCAGATCCTTTACATTTCGGTTGCAGTTCCCCAACACTGTGACACGTGGTCCCCATATATCGAGACAGCATGTCAGCATGGACGCCGTTAAATGGTGACTGTTCATTTGGTCTGCCCGCGACAGCTGGGGTACCGCGGGCAGGCGTACGGATGAAACGCGGGATGTCGCCATGATGTAATAGAGGATGAAGGGCATCAGAATGTATCTGGCTATAGGAAGTGGTTCTAAATCGATATGATTGTATTGTTTGATTGTTATATTTTGTCAATATGCACGTGTTGCATAACTATAGACTTCAAGGTGACATGACGCAGAGAAACTTTCGAAAATCTTACTTTATTATATACTACTACCTTTGATATTGCTGAATGAAATACTGCCACGAACGGTGTAAAACCATATTCAGTCATCATCATCATCATCGTCGTCGTCGTCGTCGTCGTCGTCAATGTCGTCGTCGTCATCATCATTATTAAACTTTCCTATACTAATCCGAGTAACTATTATATACTACTTCTACTGACTACATCATCATCATCATTATTATTATTATTAAACTTTCCTATACTAATCCGAATATACTATTATATACTTCTTCTACTGACATACAAATACTTCTGGGGCGGTGAGGTAGCCAAGTGGTTAGCATTTGCTAGTCACGCCGAATACCCGGATTCGATTCCCCACATGGGTACAATATGTGAAGCCCATTTGTGGTGTCCCCGCCGTGATATTGCTGGAATATTGCTGAAAGCGGCGTAAAACCATACTCACTCACTCACTCACTACAAATACTCCATTCCTCTTCTGCTGCGACTGCAACATCTAACAACACCGCCCTGTCCTACATACAACCGTCGACTGCATACGTTATCTCCACGACCCGACACTACAACTGTGCTATTGCTATAGTCGGGTAAGTATGTCAATAAAGTCCTCGCTTTTGTACCATTTTGCGAATATTGTCTGTTTTATATATATATATATATATATATATATATATATATATATATATATATATATATATATCATCTTAATGCGTGTCACAAATGATCCAATGTACCCAGGTACCTACAGCCCATGATGTATTAGCTAAGAGACACACAATATATTTTTATCGCTTTTTCTTAAACAGGTGCAACATTAAAATCGAGTTAACTCGAATCTTTGGGCAATAATCAGATGGACACTACTAGGCACAAGAGAGTATGTACACCCATGCTTGATGATGGCTAAAAATAAAACAAACAAGAAATGGTTATTCGATGATGATAAAACTCAATACGTCGATACGACATTTGATATTTCGGCATTATGATGCAACCATAGAGTGTAGTGTTTTCAGGGAAAGAAAAAAAACCAATAAAGTCCTATCAAGGATATCGACTCAATCGAAATTTAGTGAATGTAACTACCAATAAAGATTCTACCAGGAACAATAATGAATTTGGAAAATCATATATAATGTATACTGCGCGTATAAGCCAATCACTTAGAAAGACAGATCATTGAGGCCAACAAACGCAAATCTCCACCCAACGAGAACCTATGTATGAAGTCTTTTGATGATCTATACACAGTAGAGTAAACGGTAAAACAATAAATCCTATTTTGTCATAAGTATGTTATTCATATATGAGCCAAAAGGCCGTTAAAAGCAAACAACCCAACAGTCGTATTTCCTATAGAACATCACCCAATAGACATATATCCACTACAACGACACCCAACAGCCATATATCCAATACAACGACACTCAACAGCCATATATCCAATACGACACTCAACAGCCATATATCCACTACAACGACACTCAACAGTCATATATCCACTACAACGCCACCCAACAACCATATATCCACTACAACGTCACCCAACAATCATATATATACTACAACGACACCCAACAGCCATATATCCACTACAACGACACATAACAGCCATAACAACGACACTCAACAGCCATATATCCACTACAACGTCACCCAACAGCCATATAGCCAATACAACGGCACACAACAGCCATGTAGCCAATACAACGGCACACAACAGCCACATGTCTAACACAATGTCACCCAACAGCCATATATCCACTACGTCACTCAACAGCCATATAGCCAATACAACGACAGCCAACAGCCATATATCCAATACAACGACACTCAACAGCCATATATCCAATACAACGACACCAACAACCATAGAGCTAAAAGCCACATCTCCAATTCAACATTTGTGATAACACTATATCCTCCAGTGGTCAGAATGTGCTCGGATCTGAGCAGAGATTGTGGAGTTTCA